ACAACTAGAAGGAGGGCAGAAAGACATACCAGAGCTGCCCTAGCTCAGGACCGGACCTGAAGCCACGTTTCTGGGTATAGGGGGTTTAAGGTTTAGGGGTTTAGGGTGCAGTTTTAGGGGTTTAGGCTTTAGATTTACGGTTCAGGGTTTAGGGTTTAGGGGTCTAGTTAGGGCTTAGTTCTAATAGGGTTTAGGTTTAGGGTTGGGGGGTTTAGGGTTTTGTTTTAGGGGTTTAGGGTTTAGGGTTTGGGGCTTTAGGGGTTCAGGGTTTAGGGGTTTAGGGTTGAGAGTTTGGGGGCTTAGAGGTTTAGGGTCCCTGAACCCGAAACCTTAAACTCTAAGCCCGAAACCTTAAACCCTATATAAGCCCTAAACCCTAAACCCCAAACCCTGAACCCGAAGCCCTAAACAAAAAGCCCAAAGGCCCTAAAGTTGAGGTTGGGAGGCCTGGGCCGAGTTTAGCGGTTCTGCGTTGTGACAAGCTGTGTTCTCGTTAAGGAACTTAATTTAAGCTAACATAATAGGGAGGCCCTACTATTTGTTATAGATCTCTAACATGGTAACTCAAACTAAATCCTTCAACCCTAGACCTTAAACCCTAAACCTAAAAGGAATCCTTTAATAAGAACTCAACAAGGTAGCCTAAACCTAAAAAGAAGTCCCTTAAACCCTATACCCTAAACCCTAAACCCTAGAATAAGAACCCAGCAAGGCTCCTTTTAAGGATCACCTTATAGGATTCTATATATGAACCCCAAAAAGGAACTACTTTGGAGCCTCTAGGCCCTAAGCCCTATACCCCAAAACCCTAAACCCTACACCCTAAAACCCTAAACCCTAAACCCTAAACCCTAAACCCTAAACCCTAAACCCTATACCCTAAACCCTGAACCCTAAACCCCATAATAAGAACCCAGCAAGGTAGCCTGGCCGCAATCTTCACCGCCAACTTGATCGCGCTTCCCTTCTTTGACCAGGGCCTGGTTCGGAAAGGCCGCTTTTCCTGGGTTTAGGGTTTAGGGTTTATGGGTTGAGGTTTAGGGTTTAGGGTTTAGGGTTTCGCGCTTATTCACGGAAGTTGTTTTGTTTCCGGGGACGGGTCAGCCGTCAGTGCTTGTGTGGATCTTGCGGTGGACGGCGTGCTTGCAGCGAAGGCTGCTCTTCGGCCGGCTTATGGCGGCCCGGTTCTTTCTTCCCACCCCGCGCCGTTCATGAGGCGGCGCAACCACCCAACCCTATTCTTTTTAGGGTTTAAGGCCTAAACTCATTTCAAAACATCCGCATCTTTTGTGGAAGCGCTTTTTGTTTTATTGGTCTGCGCAGCTGAATGAGCATGGACCGGCAAGACGGTACGTATTTTCATGGATTTCCGGCTTCCAAGGCCCGAAATGGGGGGAAACCCCACAAAAGCACCAAAATCGTTGATTTTGCCATACGTGCTCCTTTTCCGGAAGCCATTTCCAAGGCCCCTCGGATTTTCAGGGATTTCCGGCTTCCAAGGCCCGAAATGGAAGAAACCCCACAAAAGCACCAAAATCGTCGATATGTGGGAAACCCCACAAAAGCACCAAAATCGTCGATTTTGCAACACCCGCTCCTTTTCCGGAGGCCATTTCCAAGGCCCCTCGGATTTTCAGTGATTTCCGGCTTCAAAAGCTGTCGAAATGGGGGGAACCCCACAAAAGCACCAAAATCGTCGATTTTGCAGTACCCGCTCCTTTTCCGGAGGCCATTTCCAAGGCCCCTCGCATTTTCAGTGATTTCCGGCTTCCAAGGCCCCAAATGAGGGAAACTCCACAAAAGCACCAAAATCGTCGATTTTGCGATAGCCGCTCCTTCTCCGGAGGCCATTTCCACGGCCCCTCGTATTTTCAGGGATTTCCGGCTTCCAAGGCCCGAAATGGGGGGAACCCCACAAAAGCACCAAAATCGTCGATTTGGCAGTACCTGCTCCTTTTCCGGAGGCCATTTCCAAGGCCCCTCGGATTTTCAGGGATTTCCGGCTTCCAAGGCCCGAAATGGGGGGAACCGCACAAGAGCACCAAAATCGTCGATTTTGCAGTACCCGCTCCTTTTCCGGAGGCCATTTCCAAGGCCCCTTGGATTTTCACGGATTTCCGGCTTCCAAGGTGCGAAATGGGGGGAACCCCACAAAAGCACCAAAATCGTCGACTTTGCAGTACGTGCTCCTTTTCCGGACGAAATGGGGGGAAACCCCACAAAAGCACCAAAATCGTCGATTTTGCAGTACGTGCTCCTTTTCCGGAAGCCATTTCCAAGGCCCCTCGGATTTTCACGGATTTCCGGCTTCCAAGGCCCGAAATGGGGGGAACCCCACAAAAGCACCAAAATCGTCGATTTTGCAGTGCCTGCTCCTTTTCCGGAAGCCATTTCCAAGGCCCCTTAGATTTTCACGGATTTCCGGCTTCCAAGGCCCGAAATGGGGGGAACCCCACAAAAGCACCAAAATCGTCGATTTTGCAGCACGTGCTCCTTTTCCGGAGGCCATTTCCAAGGCCCCTGGTATTTTCACGGATTTCCGGCTTGCAAGGCCCAAAATGGGGGGAACCCCACAAAAGCACCAAAATCGTCGATTTTGCATTACCCGCTCCTTTTCCGGAGGCCATTTCCAAGGCCCCTCGGATTTTCAGGGATTTCCAGCTTCCAAGGCCCGAAATGTGGGAAACCCTACAAAAGCACCAAAATCGTCGATTTTGCAACGCCCGCTCCTTTTCCGGAGGCCATTTCCAAGGCCCCTTCGGATTTTCAGTGATTTCCGGCTTCAAAAGCTGTCGAAATGGGGGGAACCCCACAAAAGCACCAAAATCATCGATTTTGCAGTACCCGCTCCTTTTCCGGAGGCCATTTCCAAGGCCCCTCGCATTTTCAGTGATTTCCGGCTTCCAAGGCCCCAAATGAGGGAAACTCCACAAAAGCACCAAAATCGTCGATTTTGCAATAGCCGCTCCTTCTCCGGAGGCCATTTCCACGGCCCCTCGGATTTTCACGGATTTCCGGCTTCCAAGGCCCGAAATGGGGGGAACCCCACAAAAGCACCAAAATCGTCGATTTTGCAGTACCTGCTCCTTTTCCGGAGGCCATTTCCAAGGCCCCTCTTATTTTGAGGGATTTCCGGTTTCCAAAGCCGTTCCAAATGGACAACAAGACTAAAACAGCCTTCCAAAGCGCCGGTCGTCCAGAAGCTCCGGCTTAGGGTTTGTGGTAATATCTATGTTCTATTGTAGTATTGGCGTACGCCAGGGACAGGCCTGTCCCAAAAGAGAACAGGTTCACGCTTGTGGTGCCACGTACATGCTAGTTGTATTGTTCCGTGGAAGGCATGAAGCCCGGGAAAGGAGCGAGTCGCAAAAGTAGCGAGGGGCGCTTAGGCCGCCGCCGCCAGCAGGGCGGCGGCGCTTAGGCCGGAGTATAGGGTGTAGGGTTTAGGGTTTAGGGTTTAGGGTTTAGGGTATAGGGTTTAGGGTTTAGGGGTTGGGGTTTAGGGTTTAGGGTTTAGGGGTTGGGGTTTAGGGTTTAGGGGTTGGGGTTTAGGGGTTGGGTTTAGGGTTTAGGGTATGGGGTGTTTCCAGCATGAGCAGCTGGCTGAGGACTCGTACGCCCACCCCTACCACCCGAAGTTCGAGCTTCTACAGTTTTGGTTCCTAACTCTTCACCATACTCATAGTGTATTGGGGCCTCGACGGGCAGAAGGGTCGAGCGAAACTTGAGCATCATCAGCATGAGCTCTCTGAAGATGATGATGACGATGATGAGGATGACAGTGAGACGACTTTCATCATGGTGAGGAACCGAGGTCCAATTGACAGAGCGTTGTACCTAGTGCGAGAAGCTAACAGCAGAGTCTTGTTGCTGCTGTCATCAGGCGATGTCGTGTTCGAAGTCGGCATGTGTCGTGATTCCGACCCAGAACATCACGCGTGTGTGGCTGGGCCTGCGGCCGATCTGTCGAAGAGCAAGGTTTTGCATCTCAAGTTCCAGCCGGGTCACTTCACGGCGCTGCTGCCGAAGAACCGCGAGGATTCCACGGAGAAGCTGTTGCAGGCGCTGCCTGCAGTTCAGGGATTCTCCTTCATCGGGAACACCGGACTCAAAGACCACATGTGCAAGGCGCAAAGATCAAAGTGAACGCGGCGGGCTTCAGTCGGTAGCATGGACAGCAGCTCGAGATGTTCTGAAGGCGACCGCTCTCGTCTAAATAGTCGCGATGCACAGGCGACCGTTGCGGCGGTGGCCGCAGACTGTCTTGAGGCAACTGCCGACTCTGAAATAGTCGCGACGACAATCCCGCAGGGACGAAGCAAAACAAGATATGCATGCGTGTATTTGTTGCAAGTCCCAATTTAGCATGAGTCCAGAAGTAAGCCTCCCACAACGGAGACAACAAGTTCAAGAGTAGTCGGCATTCAACATCCCGTACCTTATAAGGCTCCAACCATTACAACAGCTTACATTGCGTGCTACATGTGAGACGTTTGTTTTCTTGCAGGTCTGAGTTTCGCTAGGGTCCTCAAGCAACCCCCCCGAAACAAATACGAAATTTGGGAGAGTCGTCTGCATCGACCATGCTGCATGAAGAGGAACATGCTGAAAGTCTGCATTGCGTGTGTCGGTTGGACACTGAGCACTTCGCGCCCAGGGCATGCCAGCGACATCTAACATCCGCTTGCAGATCTTGAGTTTCCCTGGAGAACCTGGTTGGTGGTTTATTTCGGCAACTGAAATTCAGTGTTCGTTTCTTGCGGTTGACGCTTTTGTGGTTGACGCTTTTTGGCCCTGCTCATGTGAATGCCCCGACAAGAAGATGGGCTTTGCTGTGCCTGGGGCTCATCTTTTGCTCACAGAGTTGAAAGCTACGTATATGAACTGAAATACCCCAAACCCGTATATGAGGTGGGGCCATGCTGGTGCGCTTCATTGGAGCTTGGAGGACTGAGGGCGGGGGCTCTCGAAGTTGCGCCACCTCGGACGGAATCTTTTTTTCACCACCTCAGAGCAAGATTCAGCTTGTACTTCTGGAGTGTCTTGATGTGCAGCGTTCGCCCGTGACAAACCCTTGTCATGGCACAAACCTTTCCAACAAAGTCTTCGTCTGCTTGGCATGAAAATGCTATTGGGTTCATTGTCGGATGGCCGGTGGCAGCTTCCAACCTGAGAGAATGATTGATGTGCGCAAACATGTGGCACTTCGTCACGATCTGAAAGCGCGGCTTGCGCCGCATGTAGGATAGCGAAGCCAGTCGGCTAAAGCAGCGAAGAAAAGACAAGCCCAGATCAGATGCGGCAGTTGCCCGTTTCGGCTTCATCCAAAGTCCAGAATTGTACAACTTTCGCATAAAAGCGTTCGCGTGCACAGCTGCTTGCCAAATAAGCTTGATGTACTCTTCATCATCATTGGAACAGTCAGCCAAGGCTCTTTCGAATCGCCACTCCACAAAGGAAAGAAGGCATCTGGTGTCAGCCCCTTTGAACCAGCTCCTTCGATCATGGCAATATCAGAACTGGGAAACTGCCGTATAAACCAAGACGATTTCGGTTAGTGGCCAAAATTACAGATACATCGAATGCAACCTTATAACCTACAAATACCCTAAATGCACCTTTTACCCTAAACCAAAGAAGCAGATTGACTCTTAAATTCCTCGGGTAGAGTAACTATACAACTGAAAGCTGTGCAGATCCCAGCGACGCCGTAGGGAACTCAGCACTGGTGGCACATCCAAGAATGGTTTTCGTCAGCCCCGCCATGTGCAAGCTGAAGCCTTGCGATTTGCAGTAGCCAGAAACCTCCTCGAATATTTTGTCACACCGTGCTTGAAACGAGCCGCCGGGCACCAGATCCAGATCCATCATGACCACCTTTGGGGTTTGGGTTGCAAGAAAACAAAGCAGCTGCCACAAGCTTAATAAGCCCCCATGGACGGTTCGAAACCAAGTGGCCAGAGCACTCGCTGCGAAGTCACCCATCACACCTTTGTGAAGTGTATGGAAGACGTCGATCAGGTAGAAGTCTCCAGCAACATCAGATGGCAGCTGACTGATCGGGCTCGGATGATTCCAAGGTACATCATCCTTGGCATGAGGATCGGTAAGCCACGCAGCATCTGCTTCGAAATGGTGCCATGGGAATCCCAGACGCCCTGCTTGGCACAAGTGGCACACCCCCGGAGGGTTCGAGCTCGATGGCGCATCGCGTTGAAAGTTGCGCGAAAGCCGTCCGAATTTCGCAAGCCCAGCCCAGTCCCCTTTCAGACCAAGGACGATTGGATAGATACGTACCGGCCCATTCTCCATCGCAATCTTGATGCCACTGTTATAAGCGTCAAGCAAGTCGTTCACCCAATGCTGTAGCAGTTGGAACAGGAAGGTCTTCTTTTTATTGTATAGGTGAACAGACAGCACCGAATAAAGAATCCTCGTTCGGTATGTGCTCCCAGCAGTGTTGAGGTCTTCAGCCCGCCGAGAGCCTTGCCCCAGCACAGGCTGATACTGCATTACCAGCACGCCCCGCTTCTTAGGGCCAGTCCCCTCGTCGCAATGCAAGTACATGGGGATACAATGTTGTAGTCGACGAGAATGGTCTTTAAACACTGGGTGATGGGGGTGATGGTTTCTGAACAAGCTCCAGAAGTCATCCATGTCCGAAAAAGAATGGCCCTGTAGGAAGATCTCTCCAACTTTGCCAACGGCAGAAAGCTCTGCCAGCATGTCTTGCACTCTGAGAACAGGATGTTTTTTTTTGAGGCCAATGTCCACATACGTAGTTGGAATACAAGCCTGCAGCCCATGGTTTTCTAACACAGCTCCCATACGAGCTGAATGACCCGTGCGACTCAGCCGAGCCAACTTTGTGAAAAACTCCCCGGATGCGATCGTGGCCTCGGCTGCCTCGAGCTCGTCCCAGAATGCTTCAGACAGGGCACATGCCTGCTTTTCGCTTACCTGAGCGAAGCCGATACTTATCTAAGCCGTGTCGGGGTATTATTAGATTCCCCAATACAAGATGATCTATTGTACTTAAACCGATGATGCCGATAACATCTGCGATTGCAAACCGTAACAACAATAGAAAGATTCTGTATCTACTTATACAGTATTGGCTGATGTGATGCTTTGTAGCCTTGTAGGTCGCTTTATCATACACCCGAACACAGACATTGACGATAAGATATGTATCGACAAACTATAGCCTTGGGGTTCCTGAGGCTTCGCGAATAGAGATAATACTATACAAGCAAACCCAAGATACCAAATAGCTTACAAGGATAAGGGTACGTAAGCCCCCATGCTAACATCAACAACAAATAAAATCTTTAAAGCTGCTGAACTTGCTAAAGCAACCCCTGCCCCGACTGCAGCCGCCACGGCTCTTGCTGCAGGACCCGGTGGTTCCACACATCGCCGCTTGCCGTCGAGGCCTGCGGAAGTGGATTGATTCAGAGTTTGATCATCTTAGGCGGATAGAAACAATGCGGCAATGTGTGTGACGATCGAGCGATTTTCCCCTTTGCGGATCTGCGTGGAACGGCCTAACATAGCATGAGAAGCGCTCTCAAGCATCAGCCCCCAAACCTAGTAATTCCCCATTGCACACAACTTTCGTGTGCACTAACACGAAAGCTTGGACCAGGTTCTCCCAGTCAAGACAGCGACAGCCGTGGCCACAGTTCCAACCCTGAGCGAACTTATTTTGGTTTCTAAGCGGGTTGGAGGTTTTGCTAAGCTTCAGAAACCTTTTGCACAGGATGGAGTCTAAATGGCCTGGCTATTCCCCGTAGGTCTAGGCCTCACTCGCCTGCCACAGCACGGCCCTTTCCGGAGCCCTTTCTGGGCTTACCCTTTGGCTTAGCCACAGGCTTGGATCCACTTTTTTCAGAAAGACCTGTCTCAGAGCCCCGCTTGACGGGCTTGAAAACTGTCCTGAGCATAGACCATACTCAAGACAAGCTGGTGCACATTTGCATTGTTAAAATGAAGCAAGAAGCTTTCGAAGCTTCTTCTCCTCCATGACTGCCAACGAGCACCTCAGCACTCAGAGATGGAGGGAGATACGGGGCTTTGTCAGCGTGCGAGCAAACATGGGAAACAACATAGACCGTTTCAAAGAAGTTAGGTACTGTGCTCCTTCTCGATGTTGATCATGTGGGTCTTGAGCTGCTGGATTTCCCTTGGCGGTTTATGTATGTATAAACATGTACACATTGTTAAATTTCCGTGCTGTATATATATATATATATATATATATATACACGTACAGAGAAACACCGGCATACATGCATACATACATACATACATACATAATACATACATACACACTTACATGCATACATAGATACATACATAGATACATACATACATAGATACATGCATACATACATACATACATGCGTATATATTTACATATATAGATATATACATAAAGAAGTATATAAATACACATGTTTACATACACATGCACAAACATACACATGCACATGCACATACTCTTGCATACATGCACATGTAAGTGTGTGTGTGTGTGTGTGTGTGTTCGTTTGTGCATTTACGTGTGGCTACATGTTGCAATCTACAGAATAAATATGACTCCGTTTGTTGGTACGTGGCAACACATCATACCAAGCATCGCATCCGACAGCTTCTTATGGGCGTCGAAATTCGCCTTGATCTCAGCAACATCGTCGTGCAATCTCATGATCTTGTCGGCCCGGGTTCGCATGTTCTTGAGAGCCCTTAGCTTGAAACAGATCTGCATTGTTTGTGGGTAGCAAAGATTGGGTTCGGGATTCGTGGGGATCAACTAGATAGCACATGGGGCAAGAACTGCAGGCGTAAGATTCTTCTCACCCTCGGCTTCCTTGATAACCGCCAATTTCCCCATCTGGTTCTCGAGCTTGGACCGAATCTTGAGGACCTGGTCCAGCACATCATCGACATTCTCCACTGCCTGAGCCGGTTGAGGCGGGGGCTCTCAAGCTGGGGGCAAGTATTTAATAATTTAGCTGTAGAAGTTGTTGGATCCAGCCTCCAAGGCCCTTTCACGAACCATCGCTCCGGGTTTTGAGGGCTTGGGCTTGCCTTTGGGCTCATCGGGGCTGGAGGGGTCATCATTGGCGCCGTGGCCGCCCGCGACATCATCGTCCGTCTCATCGTAGAGCTCACCATCATCACCCATGAGTGCATTGCTACGACCCGTCATCGGCGCGGGAGGGTCGCCATCCTTGCCGTCGCCGCTTCGGCGATCCTGGAACCTTTCCTCAGTCTCGTCTTCGATCTCGGCCAACATGTCGCGCTCGACCCAGTAGAGCTTCACGGTCTCCTGGTACTTGTCTCGCCTTTGTAGGAAACAACTCAAACCATTCGGCGGATTTCGGATGCATGTTTGCTTGGTTTGCCTGGCTTGTCTGTTCTGCAATCCAAGAGGCTTCGTGTGTGTGTTGACACGCTCCGGGGCCGTGCAATAGGCGATGATGGCACGGATGCGCTCCCTAAGTTCATTCATGTGGCAGCGAAATACAATCCTACACCGTGTAGATCAAAACAACATAACGGACCACGTTGTAGATTATCAAGCTAGGCACGGGGTGAACTTCAGGTCGTTCTTCATCTGTTCTTTCGAGAACCAACCGAAAACCCTCTTGACCTTGTGCTTGCGGCTCCTTCTCAGCATGTGCTCCACGTTGCGAACGAAGGTGTCCTTTCAGGGTGGGAATTGAATATTGAATGTATTTAATTAGTGGGCCAGATTGGACACAGCACCCCCTGAAATCATCCACAGTCCTTGTTCCCAGCGGCAGCTAGGAACTGCCGAATGATGGCAGTACGTCGGTCACCACCAGCCGCAAACTCCGCCCTTACTGTCGGGGAGGCCGTAACAGCCCCGGAACGACGCTTCGGTGCACACATGCGTCCGATGGCTGCTTCTGCACGGCGTTCCTGCTGTAGCATTGTAAATCTCAGCCGTGTATACATACTGAAAGCATGAGCTCATGCAGAAATACTATACATCGAAGTCCTCAGGGGTCTTGCCTCTAACTCTTCTGCTCGGGGGAGTGCTTGCTGTTGCTGTGGAGGAAGCTGGCGACGAGGTTGCTGCTGGCTTCGCTTTCGATTTGGCCTGCTGCTGAGGCCACCAGAGGGGATTGCAATTTAGTACGTGTTCGGATCAAACAATTCAACAATCAGGCCTTGGTAGCATGCTTTTTCACGGCCTTCGGCTTCCTTCCGGGACCCGCTTTGCCAAGCGTCTTGGTCTTGGTGGCAGGAGACGTGCCGCTGCTCTCCTGCGCAAGATCTTTCTAGGCCTGTTTGTGGGGCGACATGATAGACTCGACTGTAACACGTGTTCTGCACTCCTGGGACGTAGAATGGGTAGGGGAAGGCTTTGGCGTCGGGGAGGAAGCGGAGCTTTCATTGGATGAGGTAGACAACGCCTCCAAGTGGGCCCGGGCTGCCTTAGATAAGCGCTTTGCTATATGTCTACGAGAAACACCAGAAGCCATGGTAAGAGCTATTGCACCTTTTGCTGCGTAGCCACTTGGATTTTCGCATCCAAGCTGACAGAATCGTCCGAGATAGTGCGCTGAAGCTGATCATGTGCAAAATCTTGCCCGGCAGCCAGGCTGTTGCACGACCACAGCTTGCTGGGCATCTTAACCATGGCTGAGGCTGGTATATGAGGGGACTTTCGGGACCTCAAAACAAACTAGATCTGTTCCGAGCGATCAAATCACGTGCAAGCACAATATATACACAACTCCAGCAGCAGCCCACACACAACAAAGACATCAATGAGCTAAGTGCACGCTTAAAAGTGTACATCAGCCACAATACGTGCCCAAAACAACGTAAAGTAAAAAGCATACACTGTGTCGTAAATAAGTGTGATCCGCTCACGCTTTTTCATGGCACTTTCGGTCACATTCACGGCACTGCTCGCACATTCCCGGCACAGTGTACTATAATTCGGGTTTTGCGTTGATTTCGCAAAAGCCAGGATCTGTGCGGCTCGGGAGCGTTCAAAAGCTTTCCGGGCTGCTTTTGCGTTGGCTTGGGTTCGGTTGATGTTTTACGGGAAACGGTTTTTACGGGGTTTGGGGATGCAGTGCAATCTATAAGAACGATTGCACCACGTGCGCCCCGCAAAATAGGCCGGCTGGGTCTACTCTGGTGGAATCGAGCGGGGCAGCACTGCCCTCAGCTTCTCCGGTATGTCCAAGTGCCGATTCCCTCTTAAGTAGGCAAGAACTCTGTCCATCTTAGCATCCAGCCAGCAGTCAGTGAAAGCATCGGGCCCGAAGAGGTCTCCAATCTTTAGGTCAGGATCCTCCCGCAAAGCCTCGAAGTGGTGTGCTTGCGTGCATGTTTAGAAACAAAACCAGACACTGGCTCACACACCGCCGGAGCTGCCTCTGCGCTGCAGGGAATAATCTCCTTCTGCGCGAGAAGAGCGTGCCGGGCTCGGACCACACGAAGTGCAAATCCTGGAGGATAGTGCCTGAGTTCGGAGATTCCAGAACTTACGGGGCGGCGGGGTACCGGAGCACACGTAAACTAAGACCGGGTCTGGGAGGACTTCAGTTCCCGAGCTTTGCCACTGAAGCGTTTGATGCCCTCCTTGTCGACGAAGCGTCGCACTAACTGTCGTTTAGTGCTCTTCTGTAGCTTTGCCCTGCTCAGACCATGGTTCTCGAACATACGAATGCCACGTGTATTTCCCCACAAGGTTGTCCTCTTTGGTGTAGATGTTCCGAACATAGACATCCAGAAAGAAACACGGTATACCTAGGCTCGAATCTAAACGAGGATCGACAGTTGTATTGCTTGAAACATGTAATCTGGCGCCCAGCCTTCACGAGTCGCAACAACTGCTGAAATCTTGGATGCCGGAATAGCAGGCTCGACTTTGGCTGCTCCAGCACAAACACCCCTTGCTTGGATATCAGGAGAAGGAGGCCAAGTACCATCCTGCCAACACAATCAAGGAATAAGACACCCCCAGCATCGTGACTCTGAACACACTGTATACAATGTCCCAAACCTCGCCTTGAAACCATCAAGTTCCCATTCTCAGCTGATGAGGATGTACCATCCCCGAGAGGAAGGAAATAATGTCGACGAGTCGAGGCCCTACTCATGGCAACCCAGGAGCTGCATACCATTCCACATACCATCAGGGATCCGGGCTGGAGGGCCAGGATTGTGCTGAGCATGGTCCTGAGTTTCCGGGCGTGCAGCATTTAGGGTTAGGGTTGTAGCGTTCTCTGGGCATAACATACATTTAGACTAAGAGTCGCCATGCCCGAATCCTGCAACAGGTCCAGCGGGTTTGTTTTGGCTGTTGTGGGTCGGTCATAGTCGGCCCAGTAGTCAATATCGAGAGCCACTGTGCTCACACCGGCTTGTCTCAAGCATCGGGTCACCATGCCGGAGCCTGCGCACAGCTCCAGAGCCTGGAAAACCTGATATCAGGAGGATCTAGCCCATGACCCACTGCTAATCTCTCTCTCTCTCTCTCTCTCTCTCTCTCTCTCTCTCCTTCTCCCTTATTCTCTCCCTCTCCCTCTCTCCCTCTCTCCCTCTCTCCCTCTCTCCCTCTCTCCCTCTCTCCCTCTCTCCCTCTCTCCCTCTCCCTCTCGCTCTCTCTGTCTCTCTCTCTCTCTCTCTCTCTCTCTCTCTCTCTATATATATATATATATATATATATAAGCTTTGTCCAAGGGGAAGGAGCGTATTCAAACAGCACCCCGGCCACTCTCTCTCTGTCTCTGCGTCTTTGTCTCTCTCTCTCTCTCTCTCTCTCTCTCTCTCTCTGAGCTCTCTCTATCTCTCTAGAATTACCAGGCCTGCCCGAAGCGATATCTGCTGTCCAACATAAGAAGCAATACTGCCATGATGAGCACCTCAGTTTACGTATTTAAAGTTTGCTTGACTTCACCAACACAAGATCCAACGAAAGGCTCAGCAATGTCGAAACCCGAGTGGCTCCAGGGGCTCGGATCCTTACTAGATCAGCCACAGCCGCACAGATCAAGTTTGTGCGGTTAACCATGGCAGGCAAAAATTCGGTACAAAGTACTCGGACTGTAACGGCTGCTATACCATGCTATGGGTTTACAAACAGGCATCCCTGCTTTTGGCATTCTCTCACAGAGACAGATCAAGCCAATCACTTGCATGCAGAAGGGTGGGCACACCTGAATTGGAGATCGTGCGCTTGCCGAGGCCGTATCTGCGGCGAAAGGCGGCGCTCATCAGTCGAGGCCTCGCCAGAAGCGGTGCGGGTTTGAGCACTGCGGTGAGTTTCAAAGACTCCAGCCACAATCCAAATCATGGCCCTAAAATGATAGATATTGATTCAGGCTCCCGGAAACCCAAAACTTCACAAAGACGGAACTCATCATTCTGCGCCTGGCGTATCAGCAGTGGAAGGAATCGAAGAGCTCGTAGTGGATGTAGATGAGCACCTGGCATGGATGGTAGTTATAGGGACTTCGGGGTTGGGGTTCGAGCTATGAGCTAAACCACTGCAGAGTTTCAGTTGTCTTTTTCTTCGGACATCCCGACATCGCTCTCTGCCTGCAAAACTGCATGCACATGCGAAAATGCATGCTTCAGTCGGCACTGCAAGCCTCCGAAACAGAATCACCGAACAGCTTCGAAGCAGGAAGCTAAGCTCGCTTATGTTTCTCAAGGAACCCACCTAGAGGCACAGGCCGTTTGGAAGGGCTTCGAAAGCAGGGCATCACCAAGCGGAGGTCATCAGAATGAAGAAGTCTACATAAGATCATCAGAATGAAGAAATCTCTGAGTTTTCTAAGATCTCCTATGAACCAAAAGATTAGATATAAGCTGATTCCGAGCAGCACCCCCCAAAAATTGAAGCAGCTCATTCCTCCTCCTTCTTGGCCTTTACACCTGCCCTGGCTTTCCGGATTGTCTCCGGGCTCACATCAGCTCGGCGCTTGCCTCGAAATGTCGGCTTCTCACATGTTGGGCAGCCCCTCAGTGCGAACCTACAGGAACAGCAGCCCAAAGAAAGAATCGTCCCATCCGGAAGCACGGGCGGCTTTCGCTGAATGCCGCCTTTGTTCATCTTGCCAGGCTTGCCATCAGCAGCAACAGGCTCTTTCGTCGCTTTGCACTCTTCTTCATTGTCATCGTGATCAGCTCTAGCCTTGGCTTTTGCCTTGCCTTTCGCTTTCGCTTTCCCTTTCGCTTTCGCTTTAGCTTTCGCTTTAGCTTTCGCCTTCGGTGTCGGATCTTTGCGGGGCCGGCCGGGGCCTCGCTTCTTGGAGGCTGCATTTTTTCCTCTCGGCTTTATCTCCGCACGAAGCGTCGATCTCAAAGAGGCCTGCATCGCTGGATCCACCTCCGGCGGGGCCTCAGCCTCTGCGCCTTCCGATTCCTCCATCGGAACCTCGTCGTCCTGTTCCATTTCTTCTTCCTCCTCGCCTTCCTCAGCATCGGGGGAATCCTCTTCACCCGACCCTTCTGGCACAGGAGAAAGTCGCTCCTTCTCCTTCACAGCAATATTTAAAGTAACATCGGTCAATCAAACACACCCATCACGAAGCTTGCACAATCCAAATCCTGGCCGGCGGAGAAGTCCAAAGCTCGCGGGGCGAGCGGAGATCCAAGCATCGGCTGTGTCTCCTCCTGATGAAGCTTCGATCGCCAAGCTAGCTTTTGCTGCATGTTTGTTTGCTAGGAAACGTTTAAAGCTCTCCTCATCGGGATTGGGCTTGCCACCCTTCTTGGGATGAGCATTCTTCTTTGCACCTTTAGCAGAATTTCAAGGGTTCATATAGGGTTTTAAGGTGCATGGATGGGTTTGGGGCTTTATTGTACGGGCTTATAATATGAGTATCAGGTTGAGAGAATCGGGTTTGGAAGTCTTCCCCCAATTGATAAGAAACCCGCCTGCAGAACTTGGGACCGGAGCAGGTGAGGCGCTCGTCCTCAAGAGAATGCATATGTTCCTATGGTCGCCACATGTCGCCACTACATGTTGCGATATTTCAATCGAAGATGAGATGTAATGATGGCCATCTACAAACCTCCTGCTGCTGAGAATCATGGTAAGTTGCTGAATCTGTCCGAGGATATCTGCAAGCTCCTTCTCTTTCTCTCCCGTGGGAATCTCTGCGTAGCTCTCGTCGGTCGAGGCTCGAGGCAAAGACCGTGCTGGGGTCTCTGGGTCCTCCGAGCACCGAGACACACCACGGCCCAAAGCCTTGCTTTTTTTTTTCTTGGGCTTCTCCTTCTCCTCTGCATGCTCCTCATTGTCCTTGTCATCCTTCCGCTTTGCCTTCTTGGGCGGGGGCGGGGGGTCGTTCTCCTCCGGCTCGTCATCCTCCTCCTCCTCTGGACCCTCACCCCATTCATCCTCCTCACCCCAATTATCCTCGTACTCATCTTCGTCATACTCGGGTGCCGCTTCATCCGGAACTGCTTCCTCGGCCTCCCAATTTCCTTCATCCTCCTGATAGTCATACCCATCGTCGCCTTCCGCCTGGGCCTCTCGGATGCTCTGGATCATGGCAAACAAGTTGCGAACACCATTGTCCTTGAAAGACAGTCACTGCCCCGCAGCTCCCAATGAACACACTTCAAGTTTGCAATCTCAGACATGTCATGCGTGCTGACAGGATTCGCGGG